CGCGGCTCTCCCACCCCTCCTTTCAGGAACGCAGGGAGTGGACCTGACTTCGGGGTGGAGCGGACTCCTCCCTACACAGTCCTGTCAGGCCAGCCGGCCGGTGGCTGGAAACCATCACACCTGCGAGCGGGACGTCTCCGTCCCCAGTGCCTTCACCCGGCTGTGGCAGGGCCGTCTGGGATGGGAGCCGCTGTCCTAGGGACCCTCCCTGGGCTCGCAGCTAAGCGCTCATGTAGGACAGGGGTGAGATTCTAAGGCCTGGGGCCCCCGGCTTGCCTGGATCCCACCCCCGAGGCTCAGGGCTCCTCCCCCCCAGCACTGGGAACCTCTGCCCCCCGCCGCCTGTTCGGAGCCTCCCCGCGGTGCACAGCTGGAGCGACTCCGGCTGTCCCCCCCAGTCTGGCCCATGCACAGAGCCCTCCTCCCCTCCCCGCGGGAGCCGGGCACTTACATGACGGTGATATTGAAGGTGTTGGGGATGTAGGTAGGGCTGGGCAGGTGCCAACTGCAGTAGAATCCTTTGGGGTAGTTGTTGGATCGGCACATCAGCACGGGCTCCTTGGGCGAGGCTGCCGGGAAGCAGAGACCCAGGTTACTCACGGGGACCCCCTCGGAGGAAGCGCGGGGGGCTGGCGACATGCTGAAAGCAAGAGGATTTCACGGCGGCTCCCCTTCCGCCAGGCCTCCAACCCCAAGACTTCTACTTCCCGCAGAAAAGCTTCCCAGAGGTGAGCGGAAGGAGGTCTCCCTTAGCTGGCAGCAGTAGTAGGGCTTTTATCCTCGCCACGAGCACAGGCGAGGAGAGAGGACACACCCACCCGCCGGCGGGCAGCACTTGCCGGCTGGTCTCAGCTGGCCGGGGCCACGCTCCCACGACAGAGAAGCCGCAAGGGGCCGGTGCGACCCTCCACCCTGAGCGCCTGCCTGGCACAGGCCAGAGAACCTCGCATGTGCGGAGGGAGATGGCTACAGGGCAGGCCTGCCGACGGGGGGGATGTAAAAGGGGCAATTGAGCAGGGCCCCGGGTGATTTAAAAGGGCCCGTGGCCCCCAGCTGCCGGTGGCATCGCAGTGGGGTACGACAGGCTTCCTGCCCGCCCTTGTCCTACACGGCTCCTAGAAGCAGTCGACACTGACCCTGTGGCCATGGGGGAGTGTCTCTGTGTGCTGCCCCGCCCCCCAGCACTGAATCCTCAGCTCCCATTGGCTGGGAACTGCAGCCAACAGGAGCTGCAGGGGCGGTGCCTATGGGTAGTGGCCTATGGAGACCTCCCAGTCCCCCTGCCTTGAAGCTGTTGCCAGTCACTTTTGGAAATCATCTGAGGTAAGCACTGTTCCTCTGTCCTCCTCCTGCACCCCAAACCCTTGCCCCATCCCAGAGCCCGCACCCTGCACTCTCTCTACACCCCGAACCCTTGCCTCAGTCCAGAGCCCATACCCTGCACCCCCTCTACACCCCAAACCCTTGCCCCAGCCCAGAGCCTGCACCCTGCACCGCCTCTGCCCCTAACCCCCTTGCCCGAGCCTGGTGAAAGTGAGGGGGGTGAGGGAGAGCGAGGGATGGAGGGAGCAGGGGAGGGAACTCAGAGAAGGGGTGTCCTTGGGTTTGCATGATTAAACGGTTGGCCACCCTACCGGGCAGGCGCATAAAAGCCCTGGCTGTGCCGGAAGAACGTGCCCACATGTCCGGCGGATCGTGTCCACGTGGATTTACTGACTGTTCTGCCCCGTGGCCCAGAATTGCTGGTGGCAGCAGGGAACCCGCTGGAGCCCACATTTCAGGGACCTGTCTGGGGCTCGGCCATCTGGAGGGTGAGGAAGAGACCCTCTGACCTGCTGTCGACTGTGTTTTATGGTGGCACAGAGGCAGGACCCTAGAGACTCGGTGTGTGCCAGTAACGGGGCGGTGTGAGCGGACCACGCCTGCTAGCGCCCTCTGCAGGCAAGAGCTGAACACATCAGCTCCAGCTCCTTCCGCCGTGAGACTCGGGCGATGGGTGCTGCTCCTGGGCCCGGGGTGAAACTCAAGGCTGAAATGTAAGTGTGTGTGTGTCACCCACCCACTTGCTGGGCGTGGTCACTGTCCCGTGGCACTGAGACCACGCCCAGAGAGGCAGGAGTTTGCTCTACAGCCTTAACTGGGTTTGCTCTACAGCCTTAACTGCTCTACAGCCTTCCCTGGTCCAGGAAACTCCCTCCTGGGGACCAGTCAGGGACGCCCAAGCTGTAATAAGAGCAGCGTAGCTCTAGCCACGGGGGTCCCACGATCTTAGACACACTGCGGAGGGGAGGCAATAGCTTTTCCTGCAGGAGCTGGTCCAAGGAAAGATCAATGGCCCTGTGTCTATGCCCCCTGCTGCTATCCACAGGCGGATAGGCTGCCTCCGCCGGGGATCCGGCCTGGGTCTGCACGTGGATGTAGAATTGCACAGATCTCTGTCCCTCGCTCCCACAGCAGTGGAAATAGGCAGGGAGAGATTTTCTGGGGCTCTGTCTGGTCGACCTTTGAAAGCTCCAAGCCCTGGGAATCCCTCCTCTCCCGGGGAACAACTCCGCAAGCCCGTGCTGTCCGTCAGGAAGGTCTCTGGTGCACATCACCCCCAGAGTGGCATCTCCTCCCTCCTGCCCCGATCCCTGAGCGCGGGAACAAAGAATTCCCCGCCCTCTTTGAGAAAAGCCTCTCCGCCAACCAACGAAAGAGTGGCCAGCATGGCCTCCGCCCAGCCCCAATCAACCATCCGCCTGCTCCGTCCCTGTAGCCGCCGGCCAGGGGCTGATCCCCCACACGCATGTAGGAATGGGGCTCCCAGGATCACACCAGCCCAACACTCCCCTCTGCTCCGGCCAGACCAGACCCAGAGGCCAGTTCTAGGTCTCTTTCTTGGGGTTCAGAGCGCTGCCAGGGACCAGCCGCAGCAGTGGGAGAGACACCTGACTCGCGACAGTTGTGCCTTCCCCTGGCTGCGCCATTCTCCTATGCTCCTGGGACAACAGCACTGCCACACAACTGGGGGATTTACCAGCACAGGCGTCAGGATCCAGGCCTCCGCTCTGGCACTCATCCCCACTATGGACCATGGGCCACGCAACCCGCCTGGCTCCCAGCGCCTCCCCTGTGGTATCGTCGCACACGTGCACCGACGTACAGACACGAGCACCGTCCCACAGTCCCTGACGCGCATCCAGTTCCACTGTCCCAGGCGAGGAAGGGGGAGGGGAAAATGCTCGTGTTATTCTTGTCACTCTCAGGAGGTGTTCGGTCCTGGTGGGGATGGGGACGGACAGACAAAGAGGAATCCAGGGGAGCTGCAGGCCACACCGTGCCTGCAAAGAGCCTCTGGGTGTTGATTCAGTCTCACCCATCTGCCCAGAGCCATCCCCCTGTGGTCTCACCCCCATCCTGGGATGCTCCGGACTCCCGGCTGTGGACCAGGTCCTGCGAGGCAGGGTCTGCAGGCTGTGAACAGGGCCCTACCTTCCTGTTCGCCATGTCTGGACGGGGGAATGCCGCGGCTCAGCCTGGGGGCTGATGATGCTGAGAGAGGCGGTGAACGTGGTGAGGGCAGCGCATACCTCCTCAGAGGCCTCGCCACAGCACCAGCAGCTCAGCAGAGCGTCATGACCTCATCAGCTTAGTATGACATCACCGCGCCGGGGACGGTGGGGCTGGTACACCAGACGCTCTTGGCTGGGAGTTGGTCTCACAATCTAGCCCTCCTACATAGCTGTGTCCAGCCAACTAGTGAGGGGAAACTGAGGCACGAGGCGGTGCCACCCGAGGGGACTCACTGAAGCTAGGTCTCCCAGGACCATCCTTCCCCTGGTCTTCAGGGTGCTGTCTGTTGGGAGAAAGCAGCGTCCAGCATCTCTCCAGGGGATGGACACTAGCCAGAGCACTGAGGAGGGGGGAGAGAAGGAGCAGCCGGCTCTGGTATAAGGCAGGCGTCTCTTCAGACGGCTATTTCAGCTTTCAGACAACAGACGGAGGCCAGACCCTGGGTAAGGAGCCTCGCTGTTAAAACATCCAAGCAGCCCCTGTGCAGAAAACCGGCCCGCATACTTGCAAGGCCAGGGATGCCGAATTTCCCCCTCACCTGCCTGGTCTGGACTCCCCTCACTAAATGCATCCGGCCCAAGCCCCCACTGAGGAAGTGCTGAAGGAAAAGGAGGTGCAGGGGGAGCGAAGGGCTAGCCTGTCGTATCCCCAAGCTGCCACACCGGGGCAGTAGCTCATCACAAGGCTGCATTCCTTGGCTAGAAATCCAGCCCGCTGGTTCTCAAAGAGGGTGGGGAAGGACCAGAGCCCAGGATGGGCGGGCAGTGTCTGGTGACAGGCAGAATCCGGGGCTGGCATGGGGACAGAGCACACACATTTGGGGTATCGGAGAGGCGGGCAGAGCTCCCTCTATGCTGAGCGCTTGGAGAGATTCAGGTGCTGCCCAGCTGATCGCAGCGCGCCCACAGCTGGCAGCAGATGCCTCTCCTGGTGGTGCACATCTGCACATGCCTCGAACAACATTTATTCCGCACGTGGATGGGAAAAAATTGGAGGGAACACTGGAGGAGGGGACCG